GTGGTCAAGAGTAGGAGGGATTCTGGAGTTCTGGCCCCGCTAGTGGACCTTCTGATGGCCCCAGGTTTTGGCTGCTGTGTGACACAGAGTGTTGGACTGGAGTGGCCACTGGCCTGATCTGTCCTGGCTTCTCTTATATTCTTAGTGGCTATTACCCACAAGGTATAGATAAGAACTCTCAGTCTGTGGCAAGTAATGCTCTGTAGACTCGAACAAAAGCAGTGTTTCAACTCAAAACACTGCCACAGGAGGTGGTGGATACAAGCATGGACGGCTTCAAGAGGGAATTAAATAAGCATATGGAGCAGAGGCCCATCGGTGGCTATTAGCCACAAGGTTATCAGTCAATCCTAAAAGAAATCAACCCTGACTGTTCCCTGGAAGGCCAGATAATGAAACTGAAGCTCAAATACTTTGGCCACCCAATGAGAAGGGAGCACTCACTGGAGGAGAAGACCCTGATGCTGGGAAAGACTGAAGGTCAAAGAAGACGGGGACGGCGAAGGATGAGATGGTTAGACAGTGTCATAGATGCAACGAACATGAAATTGAGCAAAGAAGACAGGAAGACAGGAAAGCCTGGCATGATGTGGTCCATGGGGTCGTGAAGAGTCGGACTCGACTGTGCGACTGAACAACAACTTAGATAGGAACTCTCAGTCTGGGGCAGGTGATGCACTGTATTCTTGGTGCTTGGTGAGGCTTCAAGAGGGAATTGGATGAACATCTGGAGCAGAGGTCCATCGGTGGCTATTAGACACAAGGTATAGATAGGAACTCTCAGTCTGGGGCAAGGGATGCTCTGTATTCTTGGTGCTTGGAGGGGGGGCAACAGTGGGAGGGCTTCTGGTGTCCTGGCCCCACTGCTGGACCTCCTGATGGCCCCTGGTATTTTTGGCCACTGTGTGACACAGAGTGTTGGAGGGGGGGGAACAGTGGGAGGGCTCCTAGTGTCCTGGCCCCACTGCTGGACCTCCTGATGGCACCTGGTGTTTCTGGCCACTGTGTGACAGACAGAGTGTTGGACCGGATGGGCCACTGGCCTGATCCAACATGGGCTTCTCTTATGTTCTTATGTCTGGGGCAAGGGATGCTCTGTATTCTTGGTACTGGTGGGGGGGGGAACAGTGGGAGGGCTCCTAGTGTCCTGGCCCCACTGCTGGACCTCCTGATGCCCCCTGGTATTTTTGGCCACTGTGTGACAGACAGAGTGTTGGACTGGATGGGCCACTGGCCTGATCCAACATGGGCTTCTCTTATGTTCTTATGTAAGGCAGCTTTAAATGTTCTGACAGTGGCCTGAATCAGCCCCGTATACCAAGAGTCCAGATACCCATGAAAGCCCCAGATTTGCTACTGAGCTACGACCCCTTCCCAAGTGTGCTCCCCAACCCCCCCCCCAATCCTACTGCTAGGAGAGCCTCAGTATTCACTCCCACTGTCAGAAATGGGCGGGGCGGGGGGGGGGGATGTGGTCCCTGCGCCTCCCTTGTTGCATTTATACAGTCGACAGGACTGCCCACTGTCACTGCTTTTCAACGCAGAAAAACCTTCAAGGCCAGATCTGGGCATCGGGGATCAACCTGGCCCCATGTTTTTGGCACAATCAAAGTCTGGGGTGGGGGAGACTGCTTTTTAAGGGAAGGACACGCAGCAGGGCAAGGCACAAAGTTGCCTTCAGGACTCAGAAGCGCCAAGAAGAGGGCAAATTTAGAAGAGTTGCCTGTTCACACCAGGGGAGGCAGCAGCAGCAGCAGATGCTCCAGACCCCAGAGAGCTCCGCTGCTCAAGCAGGTGCCTTTTGGTCTAGTGGTTAAGAGCCAGTTTGGCGTTGTGGTTCAGTGTGCGGACTCTAATCTGGGAGAACCGGGTTTGATTCCCCAGTCCTCCACTTGCACCTGGCTGGATGACCTTGGGCGAGCTGTAGCTCTGGTAAGAGCTGTCCTTGAAAGAGAGCAGTTTCCGTCAAGAGCTCTCTCAGCCCCACCTACCTCACAGGGTGTCTGTTGTGGGGAGGGGAGGGGAAAGGAGTTTGTAAGCCACTCCGAGACTCCTTATCGGATTGTTCCATGTAACTATCATAGATGGTCCAACCTCCTGCAATGATCTGTCTGTTTGTCTGCCCACCCGCCCACCTGTCCATCCACTCAATCTTGTTTATCTGACCTGTCTGCAGCTGCTGGTGTGACCTTAAGTCAGTTGCAAGTTCTCTCAGAGCTGTTCTCTTCTCTCAAGGGCAGTTTCTGTCAGAGCTCTCTCAGCCCCGCCTCCCTCACAGGGGTGTCTGTTGTGGGGAGGGGAAGGGAAAGGAGTTTGTAAGCCGCTCTGAGACTCCTTTGGATAGTGAAGGGCAGGGTATAAATCCAATCTCCTCCTCCTCCTCCTCTTCTTCTTCTTCTTCCTCTTCCGCTTCTTCTTTTTCTTTCAAGCAGTGATCCGGCCAGGCACTGGGGCCGGGGGAGCTCTCCAGAGCTTCCATGTACCACTTTTGTGGAATGGACATCACCATGTGAGCCCAAGAAAGAATAGAAGAAGAGATTGGATTTATACCCCGCCCTTCGCTACCCGAAGGAGTCTCAGAGCGGCTTCCTTCCCCTTCCCCTCCCCACCACAGACACCCAGTGAGGTAGGTGGGGCTGAGAGAAACTGCTCCTGAGAGAACAGCTCTGAGAGAACTTGTGACTGACCCAAGGTCACCCAACTGACTGCACGTGGAGGAGTGGGGGAATCAAACCCGCTTCTCCCAGATTAGAGTCCGCGCTCCCAACCACTACGCCAAACTGGCTCTGGCGAGTCTACCCTGCCTGCTGGGGGACTGACCAGGCAGCCGGTTCCCTGGGAGATTCCAGGTAAAGTGCTCAGGCTCTGGGGACACTCCCCGCTGTCTGCCTCTGCACCGGTGCCAATCCAAAGCCTGGACCCAATTTCAAGCTACGTCACGGACCAGCAGACGACTCCTAGGTGACGAGACAGAAGACTCAGAGGAGGCCTCCAGGAGCCCCACGAGTCTAAGGCAGCCTGGCCACCCTCTGGATCCAGACTTGGACCCTGAACCCCCCACTGCGGAGTCCACTGTTGCACCGGAGGTTCTCTCCCCAGCTGACCCCTCCAGCCTCTCCAAGCCCTGGACCACCTCAGCCCCATGGCAGTAGTCGCCCTCGTAGCCGGGGGCAGCGCCTCAAAGCCCTGCTCCCTGCTCCCGAAGGGGTGGGGCCTGTGTCTCCACCTCCCTGCAGGGGGATTTATGGCCTCCCCCCTTCAGCCACCACTGTTGCTGGAAAACCTCCGCGGGGCAGACGGTGGGCTCCAGCTCCTGCCTGGATTCCTGAGCCTCACCCTCCCACAGGACAAGCTATGGAGCCTGGGAAAAAACAATTTCTGCTACCTCCCTCCTGGTAGGAGCCTTGCCCTGATTCTTCCTTGTTTTGTCAGTACCTTTTCATGTCAAGGTCCCGTTAGGAAGTTTAGTGCACCAACAGCGACTCAGAAGCTGGGGGAAAAGAGGATTCCAGCCAGTGTTCCCTCTAAGCTGAGTTAGTGTGAGCCAGCTCACAGTTTTTTAGCCTCCGGCTCACACACTTTTGTCTCAGCTCAGGAAGGGATGGCTCCAGAGCAAACTAATTGATGCAGGAGCCAAACTGCTCGCTCACAACTTTAAAGCCAGGCGCTCACAAAGTAGAACTCTTGCTCACAAGACTCCGCAGCTGAGAGGGAGCATTGATTCCAGCATATGCACCACTTGTATTCTTCCTCCGCACAACAGGTGGGTGGGGGGCACCCTGCCTGAATGATTAGGGAAGGAACGAGCCATGCCTCACCAGCAGCAGCCTCAGCATGAGCCCGGACGGGCAGCTGACATCCAAACAGCCTCAAAAGGCATCTTCTGTATGCCGGTAATGCAATTGAGGAGGCCAGGCCTCCAGAAAGAGGAACAACTCCCACCAAAGACCCACCTGGAGCACATATACTTCTTATGCGGCCGGTGTCTCTGCTCTCACACAGTTCAGTACCCGAGAGTCCCACCTTTTTGTCAAAAACCAGCTTCTGGCCCCCGGTGGCATCTCAGGCCATAACAGCTGCGCACGGCTTCCAATGGCTGTTTGCTGTCTCCGGAGCCCGGCTGTCCAGAAAAGCCGCAAGTCTGCCTTGAAGCTTTTGTACCTCACAACTCTTCTTCCTCAGACTTTTAAAAAAGTGGTTCTGTTTAACAGGTCAGACGGTACCACAAGCCACACAGCAGGCCAGGTCAGGAAACCCCTCCCAGGCGCATCCGTACCTAGTCAACTTAAGCAAGTGCACACGTTTCAAAGCCTTCCGATTTGATTTCAGCAAGGCCAAGAGGGCAACGGGGGCCGCCGGGAGGACTGCACCCACAACACACCGCCTCGTTTCCAGAAGAAGCAACCAAGCCACAGAGGGACGAGCAAGAGCCCGCCTCTTTCCAAGGTGCACAGGAAAGACTCAAGGACAGAAACAGACTGGGAAGGTCCTGCAGGCTGCCTGCTTCGGAGAAGAGCGACGATTTCCCTGAGAGCTTCCGGGCCCCTCTGGGTTAGCCGGCTTTTGTGACGGAAGACGACAATCCAAGGCCGCTCTCAGACACGGGTTCTTTCCAGAAAGAATCCTATCAGAAGTCGGAGCAGCTGCTGGCCCAGAAAACCAGACGTCCCACCTCCTCGGGCAGAAGCAGCCTGCCTTCAGGTACCATATGCCACTGCTACGACACTGCCCCTCTCCAAAACTGCAACCTCCCTATCACGGGAAGATCAAATGCTGACCCAGTTGGACTCTCCCCCTGTGCCAGGGGGGCAAATCTTACGCTCAAGGAACGTTCCGCCTGCAAACCAGGGCAGGCACCCTGAGCCCACCACGGCAGTCCTAACTGATAGGTACGTCGCCTTCCCATGATGCTCTATTCTGCACCTGGTGGACGTGTGTGTGTGTGTGCGCGCGGGTGACCCTCCCACGCCCTGCTTGGTGTCCTGTGCGGAGGCACTCACCTTGCCGGGGGTCATACTGCCGCATCTGCACTTCCTCGACACATTCCGCAGGGAACCAGCCAGTCCGCCCTTTCACGGACCCTTCCCAAAAGCCTCCTTCTCCGATACTGAGCACTGTGGAATTAAAGGGGGGGTGGGGAGAGAGAGAGAGAGAGAGAGAGGTGAGTTCCCATGAAGGAAAGCACTGGCACTCAGCAATAGAACTACAATTAGAATAATAGAATGTTAGAGTTGGAACTGGGACCTTGCAGGTCATCTAGTCCAACCCCCTGCACTTTGCAGGAGCACAGCCGAAAGATAGCTCTACATACCTACAACATACCCGAGAGATGGTCGTCCAGCCTCCGCTTGGAAAACATCCAGCGAAGGAGCATCCACCACCTCCCGAGGCAGACTGTTCCACTGCTCAACCACTCTTACATTTGGGAAGTTTCTCCTGATATTTAGCCAGTAACGACTCCCTTGTGATTTCCACCCATTAGATCTAGTCTTGCAATCCGGAGCAAGAGAGAAGAGATCTGCTCCGTCTTCTACATGACAGCCCTTTGAGTATTTGAAGACTGAAATCATGTCCCCTCTAAGCCTTCTCTTTCCCAGGCTAAATATACCCAACTCTTTCAGCCTTTCCTCGTAAGACTTGGATTCCAACCCCCTCACCATCCTGGTTGCCCTCTTCCGGATACGCTTGATAATGTAAGTTATGGAAGGGCACTGCAATGCCAGTGAGCAACTCTGATGCCACACCAACAAGGTTGTGCCCTTCACTGCTCCAAAGTCACCACACTCAAATGCTGCCCCCAGAGCCAGTGCCGCGCATCTTCTGCCGTCAGACCTGTCCTCCTGGGTGCCTCTTGATAGCCTTGGTCTTCTGTGCAAGAGAGAACCTCCCAAACTGCCAACCTCCCACTTCTCCCTCTTTATCAATGATTTAGATGAAGGAATAGAGGGAATGCTTATTAAATTTGCAGATGATACTAAATTGGGAGGGGTAGCAAATATGGTAGAAGACAGAGTTAGGATACAGGATGACCTTGACAGGCTGGAAAACTGGGCTAAGACAACTAAAATGAATTTCAATGGGGATAAATGTAAAGTTCTGCATTTAGGTAGGAAAAAAATCAAATGTATAATTATAGACTTGTCTTGGCAGTAGTATGTGCGAAAAGTACCTAGGGGTCTTAGTAGGCCATACACTGAACATGAGTCAGCAGTGTGATGCAGTAGCTAAAAAGGCAAATGCGATTTTGGTCTGTATCGGCAGAAGTATAGTGTCCAGAAGTATAGTGTCCAGATCACTCTGGTTAGACCTCACCTAGAGTATTGTGTTCAGTTTGAGGCACCACAATTTAAGAAGGATATAGACAAGCTGGAACATGTCCAGAGGAGGGCAACAAAGATGGTGAGGGGTCTGGAGACCAAGTCCTAGGAGGAAAGGTTAAAGGATCTGGGCATGTTTAGCCTGGAGTGGAGACGACTGAGAGGTGATATGATCACCATCTTCAAGTCCTAGAAGGGCTGTCATCTAGAGGATGGTGCAGAGATGTTCTCTGTTGCCCCAGAAGGTCGGACCAGAACTGATTAAATCAAAACAGTTTCCGGCTAAACATGAGGAAGAACTTCCTGACAGTCGGAGCGGTTCCTCAGTGGAACAGGCTTCCTCGGGAGGTGGTGGGCTCTCCTTCTCTGGAGGTTTTCAAGCAGAGGCTGGATGGCCCCATCTGACAGCAATGCTGATTGTGTGAACTTGGGCAGATCACGAGAAGGGAGGGCAGGAAGGGTTGCATCGGTTCTCGCGGCCCTTTCTTACACGTCCAGGGAAATGCCAATGGCCACTTTGGGGTCAGAAAGCAATTTTTCTCCAGGCCAGTTTGGCTGGAGATCCTGGAGGGTGTTTTTTGCCCTCTTCTGGGCATGGAGCAGGGGTCACTGTGGGTGTGGAGGGGGGTGGTATTTGTGGATCTCCTGCCTTGTGCAGGGGGGTTGGACTAGATGACCCAGGAGATCCCTTGCAATTCTACGGTCCTATGATTCTACGTGGCTCTCCCGCTCACCACTTCCAAAACAACGGGACTTGCCATTGCAAAGCAGGCGCCAGAGCATGGCCGGTCATCCTCCCGCTACCGATTTGGCGTCTTGTCTGCTCCGCCACCTCTTTGCTAAGGGAGGAGCCGAGGCGCAGACAGAAGGTGCCCCCTCTTCAACCCTTTGTGCCTCCACCAGCAGAACTGCGAAAGGCCCAAGAGTCACCGCCAGCTGGGCAGACCAACTGCGTGACCCAGAAGAAGGCAGCTTCAGAGATTCACTGAGGCTTCTACTCACAGAAGGGGCTGGGGAAACCCGTCTCCACTTTTGGGGCACCCAGCCCCCCCACCCCGCTCAAGCCCCTTCCTAAGACACTCCTGTGGAGGCACCGCTCTTTCGACTAGAATAAAGTAGCTGGCCAAACTGGGGCCGTGCGAAGGAAGAAGAGCACAGATTGGATTTCTATACGTTCCCTACCCGAAGGAGTCTCAGGGCGGCTTACAAACTCCCTTCCCCTCCCCACAACAGACACCCTGGGAGGGAGGTGGGGCCGAGAGAGCTCTATCGAGGACTGCTCATGAGAGAACAGCTCCGAGAGAACTTGTGACTGACCCAAGGTCACACCAGCAGCTGCATGTGGAGGAGTGGGGAATCAAACCTGGTTCTCCCAGATTAGCGTCTGCACATAAGAGCAGCCAGTGTTGGACCAGGCCAATGGCCCCTCCAGTCCAAAAGCACCAGGTGCCCTCAGAAGGCCTGGCAGTGGGGCCAGGACACTAGAAGCCCTCCCACTGTCGCCCCCCCAAGCACCAAGAATGCAGAGCATCCCTTCCCCAGACATAAGAACATAAGAGAAGCCAACGTTGGACCAGGCCAATGGCCCCTCCAGTCCAACACTCTGTGTCACACAGTGGCCAAAAACACCAGGTGCCCTCAGGAGGTCCAGCAGCCCTCCCACTGTCCCCCCCCCCGAAGCACCAAGAATAGTAACAATAACAACAACAACTTCCTAACTGTCAGAGTGGTTGAGCAGTGGAACAGACTGCCTCGGGAGGTGGTGGGTGCTCCTTCGCTGGACGTTTTCAAGCGGAGGCTGGACGACCGTCTTTCGGGTATGTTGTAGGGTTCTCTTTCGGCTGTGCTCCTGCAGAGTGCAGGGGGTTGGACTGGATGACCTGCAAGGTCCCTTCCAACTCTAACTTTCTATGATTCCATGAATGCGGATTCTGTGAACTTAGGCAGATCATGAGAGGGAGGGCAGGAAGGGTTGCCTCAGTGCTTAGTCCTTGTGGCCCTTTCTTACCCGCACAGGGAAATGCTGATCACCACTTTGGGATCAGGAGGCAATCTTGGTGGTTCTTTTTGTCATCTTCTGGGCATAGGACAGCGGTCACTGGGATTTCCTGCACTGTGCAGGGGGCTGGACTGGATGACCCTGGAAGTCCCTTCCAACTCTCTGATTCTATGGTTCTAAGCATCCTGGCTACAGCACAGACATTCTCTCGAGGACTGGGACGCAGCTTTAGAAGCCGCCACAGGCTCAAGGGACAGGGTCCTTCCTTGGAAAGACTGGCAATGCACCAAGGTGGCCCATCCCTGGCTAGAGGCCTTGAAAGGGCAGCTACAAGCTGGCAGTTGCAGGAGGAGACCACGGGTGGCAGTGCCAAAGAGCCACGAGGGCCTTGCGGGAGGGGCTTCCCTTCTGCATCAGGGCCGGGCCTGGCAAGGGAGCGGCGAGCGGAGTCGATGTCCCTTCCCCGAAACCATCCAGGGACTGGGAACGGCTCCAGCAAGAGCCCGGGCCAGAGCGCTCCAGCACACCAGGCAGAACGGCCAAGGGCTCGGCCACACTGGCAGTGGCAGCTGGTCTCCGAAGAGCTCCCCCTCCCCCTCCACCCAGCCCCCAACCTACAAGTTGTTCCGCACAGCAGCACGGCTTGTTAGCCATTTAAAATGCAATCAAAAGAGCACGTTTGCGAAGGCCCAATTAATCTAATAAGCGGGCAGCCTGCTGCGCCTCCGATCGGCCTGATCTCAGCACAGGCCACAGCCGGCGAGGGGGAGGGGCAGAGGGGCCACAGAGCCCCCCACCCCAGGAGGAGCCTCTCCACCAGGGACCCCCAGCAAGCACAAAGAAAGCCCTGCCCGCCCACCCGGAAGACACCAAGGATTATTTTGGAGCCAGCCTACACAGCTGGTTAGTCGGATGCCACAGAATCCCAGCATCCCAGAGTTGGAAGGGGCCATGAAGGCCATCTAGTCCAACCCCCTGCGCAGTGCATGATCACCTCTCAGTTGTCTCCTCTCCAGGCTAAACGTACCCAGAGCTCCTTCAACCTTTCCTCATAGGACTCCAAACCCCTCACCGTCTTTGTTGCCCTCCTCTGGACATGTTCCAGCTTCTCTATATCCTTCTTCAACTGTGGTGCCCCAAACCGAACACAGTACTCTAGGTGAGGTCTAACCAGAGCAGAGTAAAGTGAAACCTGTCAGGCTCCTTTGTCACGTCACAATATACACAAGGCCTCTTAAGAAGATAAGTGCTTTATTGATACTAGTTCATCACTAAAGAACAAGTATACAGCTTCTGTCAGGAATGACCTGTAATATGATGGCCACTGACTTATAGTGTAATCAAACTCCCCCCCCCATGAGCCCAAGCCAATGAGTACATTTCGCACGCGTGGGTAGCACAGAGCAGGCAAGCGGCTAAGCCGTTACTTTTCCCAGGCAAGTTAATTTGCAGCTGGAGAAAGACAACAAGGTCAGCCAGAAGCTAGACAGGGATGAGCTGGGAAGAAGAAGAGGCGGTGCACCCCTCCACATTCCAGTTCTATGACAGGGCTACCTGACAATACCATCACTTTGCGTGATCTGGACATTATAGTTCTGTTGATACAGTCCCCCCCCCCCAAAAAAAAATCGCATTTGCATGTTTTAAATTGAGAGCCACCACCTTGTAAGGGCAGAAAGGTGACATAACTTTTGTAGATAAATTTTAAAAAAGTTCTTTCAGCAGGTCACCTGCTGGGCAGGAAGGCAGCCAAGGGGTCTCCCCCTCACCCCGAGCATGGCAGAGTCCCTCCCATTTT